GCTAGCGATTTGGACCCTAACCGCTATTCGCTAGTTTCAAACCGCTAAATAAAAATTTTACCAAACACTTTAGTTGTAGCGGTTTCGAAATATATAAATTTACCAAACACCTATATTTAGCGGTTTAGGTAAAACCGCTAACCGTTACCCCAAAACTGCTATACCAAACGGGGTCTAAATCTGGAAGTTAATTTCCAAAAAATTAATTTTAGATTTTTTATTGACTAGATTTTTTTTATTAATTTATTTTTTAAAGAGGTTTTAAATACTAAAAAATGAGAAAAATATTTTTTAATAAGTTATTTTTGTAAACCAAACAGATCCGGGTGGTGTTATTGCCACAGCCACTACTGTTAATACCACAGCTTTTTTTAATTATTTGACTATTATACCCCTCATTTGAATCCAACTTGCAGCAGTCACCACCTTCTCCGCGTGGGTTAATGGTCAATTAATTAAAAAAGCTGTGGTGTTAACCTGTGAAGCTGTGGCAATAACACCACCCAACAGATCCTATACAATACACTTACTTCGCACGTGAATGTTATAATAAAATAAAATAAAATTTTAACAGTTATTGACTATTTAAAATATCTAATTTAATTTTAAAAAACAGAACATCACAATCTTTTCTTTCCCTGTATTACATAATCCCCATCAAAAGAAAATTCAAATGATTCCTTCGAGATGTAGAATCTATTAAAAAATAGAATTTTGAAATTCAAATATCACTTTCGCTTAATTTTAGTTATCCTACTTTATTTATTTACAGTTATAAAGAAATTTATTTATTAGTTATTACAATAATTGAGACTTATATTTTTCGTTTTCTTTGATACTTATAATTAAACTAAAAATAAAAAAAATTTTAAAACTATATTATTTTTATAAATTTTCATTAAAAAAACTAAAATAACCTTTAAGCAAGTTTATGTTTAGCTCTTTATCTTATGAAATTCGTCACTTTTAACCTCTTATCTTAAGTATTGAAACTTTTAATTCTTAAATTTAAAAGTTTGAAATATATTTCTACCTTATTTTTTACAAGTTTAACTAATAAATGTTAATCTTAAACCAACAAATCTTGTAATTCATTTTTATCTCTTTGGAGATAAGGATCAAATTGAAATGCTAGCCTTTAACATCTAACTCCCTTCTTCCCAAATTAATAGATTTTTTATTTAAAATTTATCGTAAATAAGATCAAAAAATAATTTGTCCTAAAATAATAGTTGTTTTTTCATATTTTAAAGGGAGATAAATTTTTTTTTTAATTTTAACCTCACCATCATCGCTTAACTTTAATTATCTATTATATCATAATTTTTTTTTATTTTTAAAACAATTTTTTTTTTTAAAAAAAGAAATTACCTCCAAATTTTTAATTTGAAGAAAAATACTGTAGCCAATAATGGCTGCCTGGTCCTCGTGTTTTCAAGGTGTGGTAGATCCGTGGATAAGAAACACCGCATCGCTTTTTTACTCTT